AGGGTCTGGCCAGGAGGACTTGGGAAGGTAAAGGTAAAGGTAAAGGCCCTCCCGTTGATCGTCGATTTGCTCGAGCGGGCCCAGTAACGTCTCCATTGGAGACTTTGTTGTTACTGTGTCTGGCATATCGAATACTCTCGGTAGCTTGCCGGGCTCTCCGAGAGGGGCGGAGGAATCGAACTCGGGTCGGCCATGTTGGCCGCTTGTAAGGCGAACGCCCTACCCACTGTGCTATCGCTCCAGGGAGGACTGGGAGGAAGGCTGGGGAGGGGAGGAGGGCTGGGACACCTTTAGACCAACAGAGGGGCTGCCAGAAGCACCAGGGAGGGTCTGAAATGCATCCAAGGTGGGCAGGTGTGCGGTCAAGACAGTGAGCACAGGGGCTGGAGCATTAGCACAGCGGGTAGGGCGTTTGCCTTGCACGCGGCCGACCCGGGTTCGATTCCCAGCATCCCATATGGTCCCCTGAACACCACCAGGAGTAATTCCTGAGTGCAGAGCCAGGAGTAACCCCTGTGTGTTGCCAGGTGTGACCCAAAAGAGAAAAAAAAAAAAAAAAGACCGTGAGCACAGGGCATGAGAGGGCAGTGTGAGCGGGCAGCGTGAGTGGGCAGTGTGAGAGGGCAGTGTGAGTGCATACTGTGAGTGGGCAGTGTGAATGGGCAGGTAGCTGAGGAGGCTGGAGCTGGGCCAGACCAGCAGTGGGTGGTGAGGAGGGTTTGTGTGGACAGAGGCGGGCTGGGCTTACTCCTGCAAAGTGGAGGCAAGAACCAGGCAAGAGGGAGATGAAGGAAGATGCTGCCTGAGCCTGACTCCAGGGCACCCTGCCCCCCTCCCAGAGGGGCCTGGTGGCTGCACATGGCTGTCCTGCGCTGGCGGCCTCAGTCAGGGCAGCTGGAGGGAGGCTGGCCGGGCCCTGTCTGGAACTCCGGCTTCATCTGTGTAAATAAGGACAGTCACTCACAGAGTCAAGATATAAACATCCTTGGCACATGACACAAAGGCTCAAGTCCATCCCCTGAACACCGGACAAGTGGCTGCTGGCCTGTCCTGGGTGCCATCAGGGGCCCCGTCTCCCAGAGCCAGATGTGGGCCCCAAGGGCCCGGCAGTCCAGAGCTGCAGCTTGGAGGTGGTCAGCATGTCCACCTGCACAGATGTGCCCATCTGCCTTCCCAGCGGGGTCAGGAGATCCTCCTCGTCTCCTGTGCTAGGCGCTGGGCTGGGGTGTATCCCTGTTGTCCCTGCCGCAGAGAGAGAGAGAGGCAGCTATGTGACCTGGGCCTGTTCCCTGCAACTGGGAGAGGACAGGCCCCAGGACACCCCGTGCTCCCTCTGCATGTCCCCAAGGCTGGGAACACCAACCAGGGGTGCATGAGCACTGTCGGGCCTGAGCTGTTCTCTAAACCTGCAGTTCAGACAGAACCAAGAAGACCACCTCCCCAGTTTTCCCAGGGAGACATGGAGCCCTCGGCCAGTGCCGAAGCCTCGTGGGCATGGGAACAATGCTCTCGGCCCTCTGTCCTGCAGCCCTGGCCTGCCTCGACCCTGAGCACAGAATCTTTCCAGGCAAGAAGCAGTGCTTGTCCCCGCTAACGTGTGGAAGGACGCCAAGGCCCTTCTGGCAGGGCTGAGTGGGGCCTCCCTGACCATCTCGGTTCTCCCGAGGCCTGGTCTTTCTCCCAAAGGTGCCCAGAGGACACACAGATGTAGGTCTACCATTGGCCAAGAAGACGCCGCCCACAGAGACCTTGGCAGCAGCCAGAAGTGGGGGTCGGCCAAAAGCTAGAGGCAGGAGCTGACTTGGGGAAGGACCGAAAGGGACCAAGGCTTGGTTCCAGTTGTCACCCAGGCTGGGAGTGGGGCTCAACTCTGCCTTGGAATCCCGCAGCCCACCAGGCCCTGCTCTTACTCTGTCCAACACAGCTGTGGGCCCAGTGGAGGTACCTCCTGACCTGATTCCGTTTGGGGAGTGAGCGGAAGGGGCCCCTTTGTCAGCACTGATGTGCGGGGACCGTGAGCAGGGGAGAGGCCCCTGCACCTCTAGATCTGTCTCTTCCACACACCCCTCCTAGCCAGTGGGCCCCGCTGCCCACTGCAGCTGACCGGGGCCTCTGGCCACTAGGAGAGGACCAGAAAGGATGGGGGCCCCGAGAGCCACAGGAGAATTTTCTAAGGAGAAAGTCTCCCGAGGAACAGTGCTGAGGGAGTATCAGCCACTTTCTCTTTGCAGATGTGTGCATGTGTGTATATATAGGGGTATGTGTACATGTGCACACTTACATGTATACACCCATGTATGTGCATGTGTGCACATACATGCATGTGCATGCACTCATTGATGGGCCCATATATGTGTAGATGTCTGTGCACATACATGTATGTGGACATATGTGTGCATGCACTCATCGATGTGATCATGTTTGTGTATTTATGTGTATGTGCACATACATCTTTGTGCCTGCATTCGTTTGTGTATCCAGGTATGTGTGCATGTGTGTGCTTGTATGTGCCTATGTGTTGTGTTCCTTCCTTTTCAAAGGTTCAGGGACTGAACTTACTGTCCTCAGCCAAAAGGCAGGGCAGAGAGGATAATACTGATGGTCAGGGGAGGACGGAGCTGTGGGAGCCAGGACGCCTTAGGGTGCACCTTGTGCCTTGAACTGGCGTGAGGTGGGGGTACCTCTGTCCTTTCCAACTCTTCTATTTGGATTACTTTTGAGGTACACGTTAAATTCTCGCAGGTCCTGGTAGTTGAAAGAAATTAGCAAATTTCTCTTCCTAATTTTTTTCTTTTATTTTCCTAAGCCATGACAACTTATTCATGATTGTTAAATTGTCTGGGGATATTTATTTTGCTTTTTATTTTTAGAATACAATTACCCTATTTTTCAGCCCTAAATTATGTTATGTTGCCACACCAACTTAATTTTGTCTACGAAAAGTTATCTCTTTTCCTGCTTTTACTTTGAAACATTGTTATTTGAATGCACTTCTTTTTTGAGGAGAGTCACACCTGGCGATGCTCAGGGGTTACACCTGGCTCTGCACTCAGGAATCACCCCTGCCAGTTCTCAGGGGACCACATGGGATTCCAGGGATCTAAACAGGGTCAGTGTTGCACAAGGCAATCACCCTCCCCATTGTGCTATTGCCAGTACCTGTTCCTGGTTGTTTTCTTTGGGATGTGCTTCTTACATACATGTAGAGCTATCTTTTTTGGACCCAATAGCCCAGTCTCCATAACAAGTGAAATTATTTCTACATTATGATGAGTTCCATTTAGTGTCTATGTTATTTCATTTGGTATTTCCATTTCCATGCTTTTTTTTTCTTTACTCTCCTCTAGTTCTTTAGTGAATTAATAGCACTCTTTACCTTCTTTCCTTCTTTCCCAGTATTTCAAACTGGATGGGATTTCATTCTTCTAGAGCCACCGACATCTCTTGCAACTTTACCACATTCTAACCAAATGTAAGTTTATATGAATGACCTAAAGTCTGGTGTAAGCTCAGTTTTGAGGACAGCCTAAGTGTTTTCCCTGGAGACTATTTCCTTGCTTTCTTTTCTCTGTCATGCAGAGTGAGAGCATTTGTTATCTCTGACTCTGCTTAGCATGACCCCTTCCAGTTCTGTCCATGTTGTAGCAAAAGACCAAATTCCGTCTTCTCCAGTGGCCGACTGGATTTCGTTTCCTGTCTGCTCTGTGACTTGCTGTGATCCATTGCCCTATCACGCAGCACTTGGGGCATTTCCAGATCCCAACCATGGAGTGCATAATCATCTTTTTAAGCCAGAGTTTTTGTGGACCGAGCCGTGTGCGTGTGTGTGTGTGTGTGTGTCTATGTGTTTGTGTCTGTGTGTGTTTCTGTGTGTATCTCTGTATGTGTGTGTCTGTGTCTTTGTGTGTCATGTCAGTGTGCTTGTGTGTGTTGTGTGTCTGTTTGTGTCTCTGTTTCTGTGTGTCTCTGTGTATGTGTATGTCTGTGTCTCCGAGTGTGTGTGTCATGTCTGTGTGTTGTCTGTGCAGATCTACGAAATCCTTTAACGTGGGCAGTTTCCAAGACTGAGCACCATGGACCTTGTCCAGCCCCTGCCACCGTGCAGGCCGGCAGCCTCACAGCCGGAGTTCTGGAAGATCTTGCCAGTTCCTGGGGGAGGTGGGGGCAGCCTGCAGCAGCATCCTGATGGGGTGGAGGAGGGTGCAGCCACTCACAGCCCTTGCGTGCCCCCTGCTGGCCCAGGCAGGAAGGATTGTGGGGAGAAGCCGCTCCCTCCTTGGGGTAAGTGGGGTGGTTTTCTTCGTGTCAGAGCTGCCTCCCACTGTGGTGACGGTGACAGGGCGTGCCTACCTCCTGTGGGCTGTGGCCCCAGGTGGAAGGTGACCGAGTGTGAGGGTGCCCAGAGGGAGAGTCAGCAACAGCAAAAGAGTTCTGTGTGCGTGATGACTTTAAGATTAATTCAAAGCCGAAAAGTGCCATGACTCGGAGAGTTTTCTGGCAATACCGGCCTGGGCTGCATTTCTCAGATGAAAAGGGGTTGAGAGCAGGGAGGGGGTAAGCAGCATTGAGCTAGGCGAGCCTGCGGTAAGCACTGAGCCAGGGCAGCTATGGCGCAAAGAATCGCAAACAGACATGGGGACTCGGACTTTTATTTTCCACCACCAAAACCACTCTACAAGATACTTCTAACATTATTTTCAAAAACTGTGTACTTTCAGGTAGAAATCAGGCCTCACATCACTCAGCAGCCGTCAAAGCAGCTTGCAAGCTTTCTCAGAGGACCTTTAGCTGCGTGAAGTTGCCTACCAGCGTGATTTACCTCCACGGGACAGTTTTTTTTTTTTTCCCGGGAGTTTCCTCTTTAAAGCCAGACACTACATTTATGTTGCACCCATTCCCAACTAAGCCAGGCTGGTTGTCTCAGATGCAGAAGCTAAGACTAAGCTCAGAGCCCCCCTCACACACGGAGATTCCCCGTCCCATGCTGGTGGCTGCCGAGGTCACAGGTAGAAAAGGGAATTGGCCAGTTCCAAGCTGGGCTCCTTATGGATGCTCTGTGCCACCAGGAAGGTCAGCTTGTGTGCGTACTGGCAGGGCGCCGGCATCCGGACCAGCCCCTGAGGAGGAAAGACCGTGAGAGGGAGCTGTTCTTCCCGCAGATCTCCCCGTTTCCCATCTACTGTAGAACTGTTTGCAGGTGAACTGAGACCCAACGCACAAAGGCCAGCCCCCCTGGACCCTCAGGCATGCCGCGTGAGCTGCTCCAAGGCAGGCTGAGGGCTCATCTTGGTTTCTACAGCAGGGCGTGCTGGGGGACAGAGCCAGGTCCCGGAAGGGAGCTTCCCTGTGCTTCGCCAGACACAGAATCTGCGTGACTGTTCTCGCCCTTGCAGTGATGCAGGAACACCAATGTTCCCAATTTCCTAATCAAGTCTGATATGGCGTCCGTGTGGTTGATGCCTCTGAGACCTCATGCAGGATTGCTACTTTGCGTCTAAGATAGCATCCCAGGCACTATGCACTGGATCCTTCACCCCTCTACTAGGCCAGGCCTAAGGGTACAAGGGAACCAGGGGGCATCTCAGGGAGGGGTATCGAGTACAGCCCCGCGCTCAGCGGCCACTCACCGGCCAGTTGTAGTACAGGTGGCACAGTTTGAACGTGAGCCTCTGCATGTGGTCTGGCTTCAAGCCGTTGTCATCGTAGATAACGTTGTAGTAGGTGGGGCTGACAGTCCCTCGGTGGGCCGCTTGGCTGACCAGGTAAAAGTCGTACCTGAGGAGAAACGGCAGCGAGGGCTGTGGCAGTGGCAGCCAGGGGCTGAGCCCGAATCACACACAGACAGGTTCTGGTTTGACACTTGCCAGTTTGGACGTGTTGCCTCTGAATCCACAACGGTGCCGAGTGGAGGGTTCTGAACGGTGTGACTCATCTCAGTAAAGAAGCGTGCGGAACACTTGGTCCTCACCACCACCACCGAGAGCCTGGGGCTGAGGCAGCAGAGACTCGTCAGGTGGAGGGAGCCCAGGCAGTGTGTGTGTGTGTGTGTGTGTGTGTGTGTGTGTTTGTCTGTGCATGTGTCTGTGTCTGTGTGTGCATCTGTATATATGTGTGTGTCTGTGTGTGTCTCTGCGTGTGTCTGTGTCTATGGAAAGAACAAACCAATGTTGTGTGTCTGTGTGTTGGTGTGTCTGTGTGTATCTGTGTCTGTGAGTCTGTGTGTATGCATGTGTGTGTCCGTGTGTATCTGTGTCTATGAGTCTCTGTGTATGCATCTGTGTGTGTCTGTGTGTGAATCTCTGTGCATGTGTCTGTGTGTCTGGGTGTGTGTCTGTGTGTGCCTGTGTATGTGTCCGTGTGATTGTGTCGGTGTGAGTCTGTGTCTGTTTGTGCGCGTCTCTGTGTGTCTGTGTGTCTGTGTGTGCATCTGTGTGTCTCTGTGTGTGCACTGTGTGTGTGCGCGCGCGTGCTTATGTGGTAAGATGAAGTCAGAGCTGGGGAGACGGTGCAGGAGTTAAGGTGCCTCCTTGCTGCCCTGCATATAGTCCCCTGGGCACCATGAGATGTAGCCAAATAAAATAGTTAATAAATTCATTAGAGAAACACTATGGAGTAGAGAAAACAATGTCCCCACGTCCCTACCCCCAGAGTCACTCACACTGGGACTGACCTCAGTTGCCCCACACCCTTGCCCATGCCCATCCTCAGGCTGGAGTCAGGTGAAAGCATGGCTGCAGGTGCCCTGTGCACCCTCTCCGCCGGGCACCTGGGCCTGGCTGCAGCTGTACCACCTGCTGGCAAAGCTGCTTTGAAGGCCCCTTCTCACAGGAGCCTTACAGCCTTCCGAAGCCAGAAGCTTCAGAGGTCCACCCTCTCCCTCCTGCCTGTTCTGACGCTGTCCTTGCCCTTGCCCTGTGGGGCAAGTGTGGACCCCGGGCCCAACATGACCTCCTCTGCCAAGGCTGCTCCGCTGAAGCTGCTGCTGGAGTGAAGGCTCTGGCTGTGACCCAGAGCCCATCTGGGCGAGGGGGGTACCTATCTGCCTCTGGGTAACTCCCCCCCAGGCCATCCCAGCTAGCCCTGACACACTCCACGACCACAGTCAAGGCCGACCTGGGCAGCAGTGCTGAGGGCTCACTGGGATGCGTGGGCATACCTGGCCTGTGAGCCCGATGCGGTCACGCTGCTCAGCAGCTGGGGGAGCTCGTAGTCAATCAGGGTCTGCAGCTGACCATCCCCTACTCCGCTGCGATACACGATGATCCGTGCTGGCAAGATGTGGTTGGCCTCATACCACTTGTTGAGCGCTCCTGCGGGATTTGGCATAAGAGCACAGTGAATGTCACATGGCCACCATCAGAAGGAGAGGCCCACTGGTTGCCGTGTTTACATCAGTAAAGACCCCAATCTGGGCTGTCTTCAGAGCCATGTGGAAGTGGTAACTTTAGGGGAACATGCCTGCATCTCTGCTCCTTAGTGAGTCAGATGCCTTATGCTGAGTATGTCCAAACTCACCACTTCCCTTTATTAAGAGTTTAGAATTCTACCTGTAGGGTCAGAGAGCAGGCAAGGCACTTGCCTTGCATGTGGTTCAATCCCCGGCACTACGTATAATCCCCTGAGTCCACCAGGAAAGATTCCTATGCACAGAGCCAGGAGTAAGCCCTGAGCACAGCCAAGCATGGGCTAGAATCCCAAAACAATACAATTCAGCCAATAAAGGAAAACTTACTTCATGTAAAGGACATATAAGTCCCCCAAACAAACAAAAATGCTATTTAGTTTGTTTTTGTTTGTTTTTGCTTATCTGCTGGCATCTCCCTGCCCTGTCCCCTCTGCTGGCACCACTGCCCTGATGCCAATGGCCCTGAGCCTGCCTGCAGTCTCAGCACTGCTCAGTCAGAAACCAGCTTCCTCTCTGCCAGGCTTCTTCCATCTGCAAAGCACGTGCCAGAGCCATCAGCCAGTCCTCCCCTGACTCTCTGCTTCTCACAGACCACCTGTGGGCGTTCTGCAGCCTGCTGCCAGGTGCAGCTGGCCCATGTGGGGCAGCCCCAGGGAGCACCCAGGACACTTGGCATGTTTGCTACCACCCATGTGAACACTTAGACTCTAGGTCTGAGGACCTGCACAGAGGACCCTGCATCTTGCCCCCACCCCCGCCTCCAAGATACCACTCATGAATGCTTTTAGGCAGTCTGCAACCTCAGTCATGGTCCTCTGAAGGATGCAGCGGGAAAACCACCTGCAGAGGACAGAGAATGGAGTGAAGCCCCTCTTCAGCCAGCGTCCCTTTCATTCAGAAAGACATTCCAAGCGGAAACGACTCTTCAGTTCTGTATATGTAACATGACTACACTATATAGAAGTCTCCGTCATCCTGAGAGTCTGAGCTAAGAATTTCGCCTCTGGGTCCTGTCCTGCCGAGTACCCACCAGCTGTTGGGGATCCAGGCCTGGGTCATGGGGACTCACACACCAGTGAGCAAGGATGGCCTCGCTGAGCCATTGTAAACACAAGGTCTTGGAACAGAGCTTGACCCCATTCTCAGCACACTGAGGCTGATGAGCAGGGGCCACCGTGTCTGTGACTAAGGGATCTGGTGAAATCCGACTTGAATTCTCAACACCATGAGCTTATAGGAATCTCAGAAGCGAGTTTCCTTGCTGACGCCTTTTGCTGACACTTAGGGAATGGAGACCCTGAGTTAGGGCGAGATCCATGTCGATCCACTGGAATCCTCAGAACCGAGTAGCTGCAGTGACACCACTCAGAACACTGCTTGGAGCAGGCGCCCTTTATCTAGATCAACTGGCAGGACCAGCAGCCACGTGCTCCCTCTGCTCATCCCTGAACTCAGGGCTGGTCTCACAGCCATGGAGTAAGCCAAATAGCTTAAGTCTAAGAAGAAACAGGCTGTGAACTGCCTCAAAATAATGGTTTAGTGACAAATACCCAAACAGGGATTGGAAAGATGGCACGGTGGGTGGGGTGTCTGCCTTGCACACAGCTGACCCAGGTTCGATTCCCAACATCCCATATAGTCCCTGAGCACCATCAGGAGTAATTCCCAAGTGCAGAGCCAGGAGTAACCCCTGAGCACTGCTGGGTATGTACCCCCCAAAACAGACAAAAAATTCCAAAATACCTAAAACATTTTGGGTTGATTTATTTATTTGGGTTTTGGGTCATAGCTGGTCTTGCTCATGAGTCAACCTTGGCTCTGCACTCAGGAACGACTCCTGGCGATGCTTGGGGGACCATGACGGATGTCAGGGACCCAACCCAGGTCAGTCATACACAAGGCACCGGCCGTACAACCTCTCTGGCCCCTACTCAAAGAACTCTCAGGCCTGTTTTGGACCCTGAGTCCGACACTGCCTGCGTCCGGAGTCTGTGTGTGTTCGTGACTGAGCGGCCACAGCAGGCAATGCTATTTCCAGTTCTTGTGTGCACGTCCCAGAAGGGCCAAATGAAAGGCGCCCTGGCACCCCCACTTCTCAGAGGACACACTGATATATGGTGAGGCTCAAGAACCAGAATGATTTGGGGGGCCAACAAATGCAGGTGGCCAGACCCCAGAGTCCCACTGTTTGACACAACAGCATCCATGGGAGACTCCTTGGACGGTGCCCTCGTGAGAAAGCCAAGTCTGGGACAAAGTCTTCTCTGATAGTTTGGCCTAAGATCTGTATGAAAACAGCTTCATTTTTATTAATTTTTGCTTTGAACACCCAGCAGTGCTCAGGGTTTACTCCGGGCTCAGTGCTCAGGGATCACTCCTAGAGTGGTCAGGGGACCAGGTGTGGTGCTGGGGATGAATTTGGATTGGCCAGGTGCAAGGCTCTCCAACCCCTGAAAACAGCTTTTTCTTTTTTTACATGAAGCTATGTGTCTCCAAACATGTCTGTCACCTCTTTAAACTATGGCCATCCCAGCAGTGCCTGTTGAGGCCATTCAGTGAGGATCACTCCTGGTCCCCAAGCAGAGCCTGTGTGCTGAGTCTCCCTGGCTCCAGCATATTCTTACATGTGAACAGATTTTATGACCACAAGTGTTCATATTTTTAAAATGGAAGAACACAAACTTTCTAGCTATATGTAGTCTTTGTTGAGCCACAGAGGATGATTACACGTGTTAGGATGGTTGCAAAGGTACCTGGTGATTCCAGGATTCATGCTGGCTACAAATCCAACCACCATCATCCCGGTGCTGAATGCGTCTTTACAGAGAGCAATGCCGACCACCATCAGCGACTTTAACTGTAAAATCCAATTTTCAGCTTAAGTGGCAGGAGGTGCTGTTTCCCCACACTACCTCTGATTTAGTATGAACGTTTTCTTCACAATTGTCCTTAGTTATTAAATTGCTGATTTTAAACTCTGAGCCGGGGATATGATGATAAGGCTGGCCAGACCTCAGGACAGAGGGGACCCAGGTTAGTCAGCCCCCATGGCTCAGAGCTGACACTCAGGAGCCTGCCTGAGGGCCTTCCCTGGCCAGTACATCCTGGAGGGGCCCTGAGGATGACCCATGTCCTGGCATGGGAGGCGAGGGCCCTGGTCGTTCCCCTCCTTTCTCACCCCTACGCCCCATTGTGGCCTCAACTCAGGAGCGAAGGCAGTTCTCACTGCGCCTGGAGCTCAGGAGGCCCCTCGGCTCTTTCTGGGGAGACCCCGTGTCAAGGGAGCACAGGCAGAGGCCTGGCCAGAGTTTCCCAGACCAGACACTCTTTCTGGAAAGATTCTGTCATCCACTGAACCCAGTGAGGTTCCTGAGAACAACAGTGAGGCCGTATCTCACTTCGTGGCTGTGAAGAGCTGGTATGCGCAGGGACCCAGGGCTGGGAGACACACAAACCCGGCAACAGTCCTAGGCTCCCATGAGTGCCCAGATCTCAGGCTGTCCCCTGTGGACAGGAACACATGTGGGAACTCACAGGGATCTCCACAGCCCACAGCTCTCCTCCCAGTTTGCAGGTCAGCTGCAAGGCCACCTTGGTAGCCACGCTCATCAGCATGCCAGGCCTGTGCAGGGTCCGTGCACGTACACACTGGCTGGGCACCGGGCAGTCAGAGCTCAGGTATTTCTTAATGGAGTCGTAGTAGCTCTTGTTGTTGGATGGCAGGATGCACATCACCTGCAGGACAACAGGGAAAAGCAAATACTAATGGACTCTCTGAAGCGAACTTAGACCCTGAGCCTGTGGGATGCTCTCCAAGACAGCACAAGTCTCCGAGCAGCTCCCGACCCCCAAACTGGGCAACCCAAGGAGGAAAGGAAGAATCTTCCAGCTGGAGAGAACCACAGGAGTTGAGGTGCCAAGATCTCGCATGCCTCCTGCCAAAGTCAGTCTCAGCCACGCCACAGGGAAGGTCTGCACACCTGAACTAAGGGTCTCTCTTGAATCTGCGCTCCATGGCCCCAGCATGCGGGTCATCTGGGTCAGCCCTGCCAGAGTGACACGGCACCCCAGGACCAGACAGCACACGTGGAAATGGGTATCAGGTGTGGCTCAGCGACCCCCCTTCCTGATGTGGACGCCTTCCTCTCACAACTCCCTTCAGCAGAAAGAGCTGGTGGGGTTCTATGATCAGGGGTGTCAATCTTGATGGGAAAGATTGGGACAGGAATAATCATATGCATGCCTTGACTCTGAAGCTCCCTACAGTGTGCCTCTCACCCCTCCACATAGCCTACACATGCACACTGCACACACACACCCCCACACTCATACTGCACATACGCCCCCATACCACTCACAGTGCATAATACACTCAACACACACTCATACTTTCACATACACCCCCCACACACGCACACTGCACATACACACCCCACACACCACTCATAGTGCATAATACACACTCCATACACCCCCCCACATAATGCACCTACACACACCCCACACACTCAAACTGCACATATACCCCACACACACTCACACTGCACCATACACACTTCATACCACACTCATACTGCACCCCACACACACACACACACTCATACTGCACCATGCAGACACTACACATCCACATCCACTCCCATGGTCTCACTGCACCACACACAAACACCCGAGGGGTGAGATCATTCTGGACCTCCCAGAAGGTGGCGCAATGCAGCAGGAAATGGCATTCCTTGAAACTAACTGAGACTGAGGACAAGAAGTAGGAAATAGGAAGCCTGCAAGGAGCCTAGGGTGACTCAGAAGGATTCAAGTCCCCAGGAGATCTAGACACTGAGGGCACTGGGCGCCCCCTTTACAGGGAGAGGGAGGGGTCAATTTGTCTTAAATTTTAAGGAAAAGAATGCAAACAACTGGGAAAACGGGCAGGCTTCTAAATGCTAGGGATAATATCAAATATTTAAAAATTAATATTGGGCTGGAGCGATAGCACAGCGGGTAGGGTGTTTGCCTTGCATGCAGCCGACCCGGGTTCGATTCCCAGCATCCCATATGGTCCCCTGAGCACCGCTAGGCGTAATTCCTGAGTGCATGAGCCAGGAATAACCCCTGCGCATCGCCGGGTGTAACCCAAAAAGCAAAAATAAATAAATAAAATAAATAAAAATTAATATTAGGGCAGAATGTCCTGAACCCGCGCCAGGCTGTCTTCACCAGGGCACCTCGGAGGGGGTTGGGTTGGGTTTCCCTCCCCACCCCAAGCAGATCCCCTGCAGCCGGAAAACCTCCAGACCCCAACCACTACCATACTCAAGGCCACTCTCCACATGCTCAGATGAGCCTTACCCAAGTGGGAACCAGCAGAAAAAACATAGGTATGTGGGAACCCGTAACTGAGATCTCCAAGCCCACTCGGATTGGGACTGGACCTCCTCCCCCAGCTCCCCAGTTTTCCAGTATCTTGGCAGTCACACCTACAAACTGCACTGACGCCATGTAATCTCTTCAACAGCCAAGACCTAGAGACCATAACTAAAGCTCCTGGAAGAGAGCGACACAGAATTTCCTGGAGCACGTGGTCGTGAATGCGACCTCTTATGCTCTAGACCACTTATGTACCAAAAGTACACACATCTGTCTAGTTTTAACACACTTGCTTGTATTCTCTTATACACAGGCTTAAATGGTTTCAGAATGAAATACAACAACCTTCACACACTTCTCTTATTGTCGTGTGAAGGTACTCAGTGGTCGGATTGGTGTTTGAATATTATCTGTAGTAAACTATTGTGAACTACTTTATGAAAATAAAATATATAAAAATTGCAAAAAAATACAATATGAGAAATACAAAAGGGAAATAAAATACTATTAAAGTATTAAGGTTAGGGGCTGGAGCAATAGCACAGTGGTAGGTCATTTGCTTTGCACACGGCCAACCCTGGTTCGATTCCCAGCATCCCATACGGTCCCCCAAGCACCGCCAGGAGTAATTCCTGAGTGCAGAGCCAGAAGTAACCCCTGTGCATCGCTGGGTGTGACCCAAAATAAATAAATAAATAAATAAATAAATAAAGTACTAAGGTTAGTACTTTCTTGGGTGCTTGGGGGAATGCACATAATTTGCAAACATATAGAAGATTATGTCCTGGTTCCTTTCTAGACTGTTGTATATGAAGAAAAATTAAAATTAAACATCAACACACTACTTACCAACTGAATATTGGGGTCAAAATGTCTCTGGATAGCTCTTAGGAATGCAGCTGGATTTTCTTGTATTTTTATGCTATATAAAAAGATGGATTTTAAAGATATTTAATTCCTTTTTTAGCATCACATAATCATATAAAGCTAAAAATAATAAAAATGGAGCCAGATTAATAATATAGTGCTTGCCTTGCAATGGGCCAACCCAAGTTTGATCCCAGCACCATATATGGTCCCTAAGTCCCACTAAGAATGATCACTGAGTGCAGAGTTAGGCATCTGGCCTGAGCACTACTAGGTGTAGCTCAAAAAACAAAAATAATAAAAAATGAACTTTTTTAAATTGGAGAAAAGTAAAAACAGTTCGAATCTAAAATTGTTTCTTCATTATAAGATATGCCAGGAACATTAAATAATGTAATAAAACATTAATGATTAGTCTATACTTTACTTGCAAAGTGGTTTTGATGTAGGCAGGTAGATAGGGAAATGAGACTCAGGTCAACAAAACTTCTGGAAGGAAAATTCTAAGGCTGATCCACCTTGTGGATATAAATAAGATCTTGAGTAACAGACCCTGAGGAGATTGGACTCCTCCTCATGAAGAAAATTCCTTGAATACCCTGACTTTAGTGATCCAGCCCAAAGAAGACCATTACCACTTCCAACCCCCCTTAGCAACGGACTTTGACTTAGGTAGAAGCCCCACATAGGGGGCAGGTTGGAGAAACCATATAAAGGCCACCTTGAACAAAGGAAAGGCATGCATATGCTGCCTGAGTCCATGTGCTGCTTGCACCCAAATGGCTGAGCACATGTGGTGCCCGAGCACATCTCTTGAGTACTTTCATGCTTTCGTGTCTAATGCTGGGATGTGTGTGGAGGCTCCCTCCACCTTTGGAGAAGCCCGGGTTCTCTCTTGAGTGTATTTCTCTCTCTCTCTCTCTCTCTCTCTCTCTCTCTCTCTCTCTCTCTCTCTCTCTCTCTCCCTCCCTCCCTCTCTCCCTCTGTCTCACTCTCACTCTCTGCCCCTCAAAAACCCTCCAAATAAAATCTTCACTGCTTGTCTACTCCTGAAATTCCTTTCTGTGAGGCGAGACAAGAACCCAGTAACCTGGGTCCCGGATGGCAGAGGCGGATGGCGAGAAAGTGACTGTTTTTCTCCTCCCCGTTTCACACGAGTCACCCATGGGGCCCACCGACATCAGTTTGGTGGAAAGCAACAATTCCTCCACTGCATACAATCCTTGCTAATAATTCTGCTATTCTCAATGGGGCTTAAAGCCGGTCCCTCTAAAACCACACATGCCCACCTCAAGGATGTGAACAGACCCACGACAACTCGAGTAGGGCTTCCCTCAGGCAGAACTGCAGGGAACTTTAAGTGTTTTTAACCCAGAGGTGCAGCTCATCTGTTGCTCCAGATGGGTCTCCCCTTCAGGAGCCCTACAATATTTCACAGTGTCCATCTGCCAAGAACTGATCAGCAATCTGTTCTGAGCTCACTGCACCAGGGCCAGAGACAACATGAGGTGTGCCCAGAGGGACCCAGGCCCCGACTTTCCTAGATAGGATCAGCCTCTCACAAGTGTCTGACCTGTTTGCTGCTGTGTGGACCTGGGCAGCAGGAAGCCCGTGGTGATTTCTTGGGCTACCTCCATCGACTCACACTGCCCCTCCTTGCCCTACCTAGCCATCTGGTAAGTGCCTCCAGGAAGCCAGCAGGTAAACACACACTTCCTGGGGCAGCTTCCAGGCAAAGAATCCAGAGCACAGCTGCGTGCAAGAGCCGAGAGCGAGGACCAGCCTGGGTCAGCAGACTCTGGCCTCTCAATAGCCTGTGGGAGCGGCTACGGCTCAGGGCAGGCAGACTGAGAAGAGGAGGTTAGTGCTGGGCGTGGGTGGTCCTGGTTCTACAGAGACTCTGGGGAATCACTCCCCTCTGCCAGCAAAGGCTCAGCACCTCCCCAGAGCAGAGGGACACAGCCTCAGCTGTACTTTGCCACGTTATTAAACTATAGAGAAAGTAGAATCGACTTTACAGCTTCATTAAAACAAAACTGTACTGGATTTTGAGTGCACAGACAACCGGATTAAACTGAACGGGGCTGGAGAGATAGCACAGTGGGGAAGACGCTTGCCTTGTCTGCAGCTATCTAGGTTTAGATCTCAGACCTTCCATATGGTCCCCAGGGCACCACCAGGAGAATTCCTGAGTGCAGAGCCAGGAGTAACCCAGAGCACTGCTGGACGTGGCCTGAATCACCCCCCAAAATGGGGGAGCAAACTGAAGTCTCCTTCTTTCTCTTTGTCATCCATGCAGATGGCACAGTACCAGGTACATAAGTGAAGGAGTTTGTTTTATTAAAAACAAAAACAAAAAAACCCCTAATCTTATTAGGATAACAGAAGCAGAAAAGCTAGTTCAGATATACTACATTAAAGTATGAATTTAGTAATTCCTGAAGTGCAAGTTTTATTTCATATTACTCTTGCTGTTCCAGTGGTCTTCCCAACTGGGACTCCCCAGCAGTGCTCAGGAGGCTCAGGACTCCCTTGAGTGACCCTCAGGCACCCAGGTCAGAAGATAAGGGCTTGCTCCAGCCCTGCGGTCAAGTCCTAGAGAGCCAGGGTCAGTCAGGCTGCCCAGCAGTGCTCGGGGACCAGGTCAGGCACATACTATGCATTTGTGCGACCACTAAACTAGCTCCCAGCCCACTGACTACGAAACTTTAAAAATAACTTATTAAGAGAATTAGATAGAAAAAAGTTGAGGTGGCAATATATGACTCTAATAAGGACTTATTCTCTAACTAGAAAGATTTCAAGTAATAAGATGCATTACCAAGAACAACTATGTAACAAAGTTTTGCTAAGAACAGCAAAATAACTGAATAGAAATTTTATCGTTGCAAAATCTCTCATAACTGTTTTCTAGGCGGTTTAAGAAAACTTGACTCAAAGAAAGTGAATGACCAGAGACTCAGGAGCAAATCTCGAAACCCAGTAGCTTTTGGCAGAAATCCCTCCAGATTTAAGTGTTAAAATTTCGGAATTTCAAAATCACATGGCCCTACTGCAGCCACGTGACATCATATGTTATTCATAACCAGCAACAGAACACAAATAGTCTACTGTTGCCTTTTCAGCAGATCTGAGTGTTGGGGTAAAAACTCAAATAATAATGGTGGGTCTGGTGTCGAAATACTGAATGTAATCAAAGTAGAGAGAGAGTCATATGGAAATCATCTGCCTCACAGGTAGGGAGAAGGTGTGGGATGGGAGTATACTGGGGATTTTGGCGGTGAAGAATGGGCACTGGTGAAGGTACGGGTGTTTCATCGTATGACCGAGACTTAGACCCGAAAGCTTTGTAACTACTCTCACGGTGATTCAATAAATAAAATTATAAAAAATGAAAAAAGAAAAGTAAGGTGGAGTTCATGCACAATTCAATCAACTAATCAGTGGCTGAATAAATAGCAGTACTCCTACATAAAAAAAAAAGTGAGTGACAACAATCACTGTATCCTATCTTCCTACCAAACACGAATAATCCAGGAAGAAAAGAGGGTGCTTCTCAGCAGACTCACATTTTGGGGTGTTGGATGTTAAAGCCCATGGAACTTCCAGCTCTTCTCAAGCAGCCAAGGAAACTCTCAGTCACACACTCAATTCTGTCGCTGCACAGAATCAACCAGTTATTTAAAGACTTTGTGCTTAAAAGCTTGCACATTTGCACATCCTTGGACCAATCGGCAGCAGATGCAGGCTGACACTAGGACAAGAAATGATGGACGTTGAACAGCAGATCCAGTGAGCATGGAACCAAGGCAAGAGGAGCCGTGCCGTGACAGCAATAGTCGGAGACCCTGTGATGTGGCCCCAACCCAGCCATGGGGTCTTGCCATCATAGCAACAGCCAGAGACCTGTGACATGGCCCTGCTCCACCACAGGGCCCTCAGCCACTGCAAGCACAACCATGCCAGAGGGAGAGAAGGTCATCAAGACCACAGCCAAGGAAGGGCAGGGCCACGGCCAGGGCAGGCGACCGGTCATCCCACTCCTGACACATGACCCATTCCTGCTCACCAGGGAAGTGCTGAAGCAGGAGCAGCTGTGGCACTTACTATGCGGTCCTGCAGGATCATCTTCTCTGTGGGCACCACCCGGCCTGTCACGGACAGCTGGCATCCAAGGTGCAGCCCCCACGTCTCCAGCTCAAAGCGAGTGTCCTTGTTTCTGTGGAGAGAGGGGCCCTGGAGCACAGGACAAGGCAGTACCCCTTCCTGGGCTGCAAGAGGCTGACTTCCTCTCAGGTCATGTGGTTTTCCCTGCTCAGGGGGCCGTGTGTCCACCCGCCCACCAACCCTTGTGCCATGCGGCCGGCGGGCTCTGACACATGGCTTGTGTTCAGCTCTTTCCAGGAGCAACTAAAGGACACACGTTGGTTTCCTTAACAGCAAAATGCCGGGGCCTTAAAACTATACCGGTGGGGGCCGGGTTCAGTGCACACAGACACCTGCATTGCCCACGAGTCCCAGTATTGTCCTCCCAGTGTGGAGTGGTGGTCAGCACTGCCCATCCCTGTTCTGTAGCACCTCAGGGCTGCAACGGGCTGAGCTCATTCTGCCTCTCGCTGGTCAATCACCAACATCCTCCCAGACTGCAGCTCTCGGGTGTATGGTGGTGGTGGAGGGGGGAGAAGGTAGCACAAAAAAACGGTCCCTGACCTTAACCCTGAGAGGCAGCTGGCATGAGCTGCTAAGTACGCATAAGACTCACAGTCCTGCTCTTACAATATGCTAAAATCTACTCTTCTCTCCCCAGGGGACTGAACCTGGGTCAGCTGCGGCCCAGGCAAACATCCTGCCCTCTGTCCTATCATTCCAGCCCCCAAAGTAAGGTTAAAGGAGATTGCCGAGTGACTACCATGGCTCACCCCAACATACTGCAAGAATGAGCATTTCTGGTCGGGCAGTGGCCCCATTTCCAGTGCCGAGCAGTGGCTGAGGCTGCTCTAGGGGACAGTGATTCTCGGGGGAGGAGGGGGACCCTCATTTCCTTGTGGAGCTGAAGCAGACAGGGCGGGGTGTGCACAGGCCACCAGATGGGTTGAAGTTCCCAAGGGGACACACACAGAGAGGGCTGCCGGGCCTGAGTGGGTCTGAGTTTTCCCCGGCCAGATTATGGAGCCTCCAGTGGAGGGGTTGACTTGTTGCTTTTAATGACAAGCCTCTTCTTTATCCAAATTTCTGTCGGGACAGACCACCAGCGAGACCACCTCCACCCTTCTACAGGCCTCCTGCTGGCTCTCTGACCTGGACCCCACGATCCACACACACCCAGCTTGATGTCAGCAAGAACGCACTGTGCTCATAGGAGCACTCTTTCCAGGAAAGCCTGGCCTGGAGGCACCACAGTACCTCTGGATGTCATCAGCCAGCTGGGCCAGGCGCTGTTGCCTCCCCATGGGGCCCAGACGCATCTCCTCAGCGACAGCTTTCATCAGGGGGAAGTCGGAGCCGGCCCGGCTGCTCAGCCCTGGGGAATAGCGCAAGGACAGTGAAGACCAAGCATGGGGCAAACCAGGGGGTCACCAGTCACATGGCTTCCGGCTTCTTGTTGTGGGGCCCCATGGGGCAGGGCTGCATGGAGCTCTGGCTTTCCAGCCCAGGCTCTCCGGCATGCAAGGCCCCCCCTCTAGCACCTGAGCACATGCCTCACCCTGCACGGTCTTCTGAGGGTGCGACGCTAAAACCATGAGGTTGTGCAGACCACAGACATCTCCCTGGGTGGCCCCTTTCTGCACGTGGATCAGGCAGATGGGAGCCTGGGCATCTTCTTCACTGGCTGTACAGCTGCGGCCCTGCATGCGTACATGCACTGCTGCCACCTCTGCCAGGGCAGACAGCCAGAGCCGTGCAGGCAGAAAGCCAGTAGAGTGAGCACTGTCTCAGGGAGTCTATCCTTCCTCATTTCTCTGACCACAAACCCACCTGCCTCCCCATCCTCGATTTGAGCAATACCGAGTGTCCAGCATTGAGGTCTTCCTTCCCCCTCCCCCCCTCCGAAACAAATAGACATCAGGGACAGTCCTGAGACAATGCTCAGGCCCCCAGCATGTGACAGGACCCCTGCGAGTCTACAAACAAGAAACAAGAATTGTGGAGGCACCAGGCAGAACCTCTGTGAGGGCTGCAAATGTGGCTCTTGTAAGCAGGCTGGTCTGCATGGGTGAGGCCCTGGGCCTCCAGGAGCAAGTACACACACACACACACACACACACACACACACACACACACACACATTCTTCTCCAACAATGTACCTTTAGAAAGTCAAAGTCATCTCATTTCTAGTGTAAAGGAATGGGGAGAGGCAATGGTCACTCGGCTCTAGGAGGGCAGCTGGAAGACTATTTCATGTCAAAGTAATGACAGGACAGCTGAGATAAAGGGAAGAGCCAACGGGACTGTCCTAGCACTGTCCTAATGCCTCCACTTTCTCTGCCCCAAATCGACTGCTCCCAGGACTAAACTTGACACTGGCCCAGCCTACAGAAGGACGCTACTGGCTGCTGGGCCTGACCGAGGAAAGAACCTTTACCTGTGAGGAAGCACAGCTCGGGGAGCAGGTGGACCAGCCGCACCTCAGCGCTCCCCTTGTGTCTCAGCTGACTGACCAACATGGGCTGACCGAGGTCAGACACGGTAATGTCATATTGCTGTAGAAGGCAAGAGGACGAAGAAGTCACGAGGGGGACAGCAGGGAGAGGCTTAGCACCAGCATCGAAGCAGCCCCAGTGACAGGGAAGCATCTTTGCTCAACAAAACACTTCCGGGTTTCTGCCACCTTCCTGGCCCTAGACTTCATACTTAGGGGATTATGCTGTTTTGTTTTCTTTGAAAATGAAGCTGTATCTGGCATTTGAGCCACTTCTTTTTTCTCTGGTGAGTTATCCCCCAGAATCAGGAGACCCAGAGCCGCTCCCTGCCCAAGTGAATGACCTTGGCGGGTCCTGCACTGGCAGGTCCCACCAGTGGATGGAGAGAAACAATTGAAGGTGGAGTCAAGAGAAGGCAGTTCAGGAACTTGCATCCTGAAAGACAGGTGTGGCACAGCTGGGGGGGGAGGGGTTCAGGGTGGGAACACCAGGGGGTCATTTTCACTTACATCCCTGATATGTTTGTTCAGCACTGGAAAGTATTTTTCCTGGTAAGTTGAAGTCAGGACCTACAGATGTGCGTAGGTCTTTCAAAGTTCAAGGTTTTGCTACCTTGGGATAGTGCCAAGAAGTGGAGCCTCTGAATCACACGGAAGCTCGATTCTTAGGGGATCTGGGGGGTTTGGTTCTTGGGCTCCCTGACCGGGTAGGCAGCAGGGCAGAGGGAAGAGGGGGAAGCAGGAGAGGAAGGTGTGAGTTCGCTCAGGCAAAGCAGAGCCCTGGAAAGGGTGGAGTAGCAAAGGCACGTTCTGGGCAGTGCTCTGGGGAAGGAGCCTGGAGGGCAGGAGACAGGACAGGGCTGAGTGGGCCCTGCAGGCCTGCTGACCAGCAGGACGCCCCTACCTGCTTGTAGTACTCCATGTAACTGAGCCGAGTGCCATCCCGCTTCTGGAAGGTGTGCGTGGGCTTCACGGACCAGTCAATGTCGTCCACGCGGTAGGTCCTGTTATTGTACCTGGGGAGTGAGACGTCAGTGTCCTTCTCAACCCGGGAGTATTTCTCCGTGTGTTTCACACAGACGACAAGCCTTCAGTATTTCAGAATCATGGGGGAGAGTGACTGCACTCGAGAAGCACTCGCCGAGTGAGTCCCACCTGTCCGCCAGGCTTGGCGGGGGTCTGCGGGTGCTCCCAAGAGCACCCTCTGCTTGAACGCAGCCACCAGAACCTCAGCGCCAAGGCCTGGGTTCCCAGAACCACCCGAGTGAGTGCCCCAAGGTCCTCCAGCAGAAGTCGGGCACCGTTACTAGCCAGTGGCCACTGCAGACTGTTGCCTCAGTCCGAGGAGCCTGCCACAGCCTCTCTGAGCAGATGATGCTGGTTTCCTAGTAGTCCTGGAGCCTCAGGGCATGTGAGGACTTTGTGGGCAGGAGGGAGAGGCAGCCACCCTCGGGATGCTGCTGGCCTCTCTGGTCCCACTTCTGCTGTCACCCCAGACAGTACATCCTGGAGGCAGTGACCCTCAGTCCCACCTGGTCAGCACAACCAGCCCGATCAGCTGCTCCTCACAGGCCTGGGTGAAGCAGGGCCCGTCGTCCCGGTGGCAAAGCTCAGCCATGAGTTCCAGAACAGTCTCATTCCGGAGAATCTTGTAACATACATCCGCATGAAGCAGGAGGCTGTTTTCAAACTGCGAAACAGAAATGGCAAACCCCGGCCAAAGGGACAATCTAAAAAAAGAAAAAGTTTGTTTTTGTTTTTTAATTTATTATAGGGACTGGAGCGATAGCACAGTGAGTAAGACGTTTGCCTTGGACATGGCCTACCCGGGTTCGATTCCCAGCATCCCACGTGGTCCCCTGAGCACCGCCAGGAGTAATTCCTGAATGCAGAGCCAAGAGTAACCCCTGTGCATTGCTGGGTGTGACCCAAAAAGCAAAAAATAAAATAAAATTTATTATACTGGAAAGAAACCGCAAACCTTGGTCTTGGGTGTCCCAGAGTCTCTCCTGGTTCAGGACTTGCTCAGGTGACCACGCAGTAGTGCAGGGTCAAGCCCAGACTCCTGTACTGAAGCTGCCCTCGGACTAAACACTCCTGAAAGGCAACTGTGCTCCCAGACCCTAGACTTCCAACTGGTGTTCTTGGGCCAGATTCTGGAGCTAATCGAGCACTTCAGTTCATCTGTCCCCACAGCACAGCAAGGAGGCAATCCTCCTCAAGGCCATGCTGGGCACTGACCAGTCAGCAGCATCCTTGGCCTCTCCCCTCTAGATGTCAGGACAGCACCTCGGTGACAGTCAAAATGCCTACAGATGTGTCCCCGGGCAAACTGCCCAGGAAGAGCTCAGGGAGGGGTGCATTGAGGGGCCTGTCCCAATGTGGACACACAGTCAAGGTGAGCATGGGACAGACAGCCATGAGGACAAGAAGACAGTACCGGGTAGTCCCACTTCAAAAGCCCTTTCCCAGTTCCTGCTGGCATCCCGGGAGCAAGCCAGCACAGAATGGGCAGCAGCCATAGTTCCGCATCCCCCACCACGAGGCATTGAGGGTGGCTGGCATGCGGGCCGGAGTAGAATGTGTCGCACGAGGTCTGGGTGGGATTTCTAGCACGCTGGGGTCCCCGACCCCAGACAGAACCCCCAGACCCAAACTCGGTACACAGCCGTCCCTGGACGTTAGAGGATTCTGTCCCTGCTGCTCCCTGCAGTGGCCAAGAGCATCACGAGTTAAGTGGCTGTTTCCAGGAGTGACTTCTGAGCAATAGGAAGCAGAAACCGACCTACTTGTGCTGGGGAATTTCCACGGGCTGGGAAGGGTTATAGAAGTTCCGTCCAATCTGGTACAGGGACAACTTCCTTAAAATCCTGAAAGTGAATGTTTAGAGTCTCTGGTAAACACTGGTCAACAACCACGTCTCTAAGTCTGAGCCCAGGCCTGGAGCTGGTCACTCGGGCTTGTCTGTGTGGGAGGGCACAGAGGGCAGAGTGCTGAGCTGGCCTGGGCAGCAGCACCCACCACCCCATCTCACCCCAGGTCCTCCCTCACCCAGATAGGCCAGAATGACAAGGGTTCAGGATTAGAGCTGGAACAGCAGTGGGCAGTGACCCACAGGGGCTCTCCTTACAGGCCACAGAGGCTGCCCTAGCCCGGAAGTCTGCAGCCAGGTGTTGGCGCCAGCCCAGGCTCTTACTTTCGGAAGATGAGGTTGAACACCTGCATGCACACAGGGGAGCTGGCCGGCAGCTGCCTTGTCAGCGTCAGGGTCATCTGCACAGTCTCACCCCTCTGGGTCACACTGGACAGCTCCGTGACCTGGAGGGAGAGGGACACACTCTCATACTCTGCCGTATGTGGGGCACAGCTGTGTGTGCCTTCACCATCCAGCTCAGCCCCTGGCGCGCTGCATGGAGAAACTGCAGTTGGGAGCAGAGATGCCGGAAAGTGCTGGCACATTGTGCAGGACGCAGGAGCCAGAGCGTGAAGTTCAAGCTCGCTGGCCCAGCTGCCATGGTGTTTCAGAGTGTCTTGGCCACTTGGGGAAAGTTTCAAAAGGAAAAGTCAGGACATGGTCTTCAACTATGAAAAGCTAAAAATCAGATTGTATTCCAACCTCTACAATGCTAGGCTTGTGGCGTTGCTGTTTCGTTTTGTTTCGGAGCCATGCCCGGCGATACTCAGTGGTCACTCCTGGTGGTGTTCGAGGGACCTTATGTGCCAGCAGCAGAACCTGAATCAGCCGCATGCAAGGCAAATGCTATCCCCGCTATATTATCCCTCCTGCTGCCCAGCCCTCAGCATCTTCATTCCAAAACGAGTGACTGATAGGACCTTAGTCGGGCTATCTCTGCTCTCGTCAGGAGCACAAGAGAGAAGAAAGAGGGAAGCTGGCAGCCACACATGCACGTGAGCCTAAGCATGCATGGCGTACTTGAGGAGACGGTTCTCTGCCGGCCACACTGTACCTTCTCTTCTAGCTCTTGTGAGAGAAAAAGGATGACCCCATCAAACGCTTTGGCTCTGCTGGAGAGTTGGCTGTGACCATAGAGCAGAGCCGTTCTCAGCCTTCGGGATTCGACATCAGGGTGGAAGGTCACGTGGTACTGGAAGAGCTGCCAGTCCTGTGGCAGTTCTAGGCTAAAGAAGTTGGCGACCAGCTTCACCGGCACTCCACTGCAGCCTGGGGAAGGAAGAGCACGGGTATGCCCCCAAGTCACACTCTGTCATCTCAGCAATGCCGTTTAAGTCAGTTAAGGGGTCACTGCTGTGAAGAAAGAGAGTCTGGTTCTGGGACAAAAAAGAAACTCTAAGAACCATGGTTGGGTGCTGGGGAGCCCCCCATGTGCCAGGGGCCGGGCAGGAGGATCTAAGGCAGTTCCCATGGGCAGAATCGGGCAGTCCAAATCTTGCACTCCTCCTAGGCCTTCTGCTCCTTGACTCAGATTGGGGCCAGTGTTGGAGTACACGGAGCTTAGGTTTATCAGATTGTACCCATCACAGTGCTCCCGAGTCACTCCCATTACTTTGTCTGTCTGTAACCTCTTCTATGCTCTCTTCCCCAACCAATTTGTAAGGTCTCATCCTTCTTAGACACTTAAGCTGTACTGTAAGTCAATATTGTCTTTCTCCTCTCCTTATGTCTTTGAGCAGTTTACTTTAATGCAATGTCCTTTTGTATAGATACAGGAAGACAATTAATTAATATTATGCTTTATAACTTAGGAATTAATTGGCTTTGGATATTATTCACTCCTGGGCATCTGCCTTCTCAACTTAAGCCTCAGTTGCCCTCACTTCCTAGCACCCCAAGGGCAGGGTCCCGACGTGGGACTGGATGGAACCAGGGCAAGCCGGTAAGTTATGTGCTACCCTGGCATCGCGATGGGCCAGGCCAAGGTGCCACAATTCTATAAGTTAAGAGTTTGATCATAGGCAAATGATGTCATGATCCAAAAGTAACGACAAGACTAGGGCCCTGCTGCTAGGAATAGGAAAGATATCTGGCCTGAGCACTGCAGTCTGAGATCGAGATGGCCCTAGGAGAGCAATTCTATAAGCTCAAAGTATTTCTTACTGTGTCCATACGAAATGATTAATATTATGTATGCTTATATGTTGGTTGGACAAGGAGAGGAGAAAGACAATATTAACTTACAGTACAGCTTCAGTGTCTAAGAAGGATGAGACCTTACAAATTGGTTGGGGAAGAGAGCATAGAAGAGGTTACAGACAGACAAAGTAATGGGAGTGACTCGGGAGCACTGTGATGGGTACAATTTGATAAACCTAAGCTCCGTGTACTCCAACAGGCCAGGGTCTGGTTCTGTATTCACGTGTAGTTCCCGGCCTCAGAGAAGCCCAGGCAGCCCTGAGGGCCACGTTTCTGAGGACTGGGAAACAGCGGGCAAGCGGTGAGGATGCCACCCCGGCTCCCCACGGTCCTCGAGAACCACTGGGTCTAGTTCTGGTGACCCTGAGCTGCCCTGAGCCCTGCATCACCTGAGCTCTGCTAGGGACCCCCACACAAATGAGAGGAAGAAAGGAGCATCCACACTGCGGGCCCCTCCTGCTTGTCCCTTCCTAATGTCCCGTCACAGAAAATCTCTTCTGAACTCAGGGAAGGAGAAGAATACAAAAGAAGAAATCATTCCCGTATGTGAAAAGTAGTTTAGGGAAGAACAGCATATCAACTTGAGTGTTTTTAGAAACGAAACCTCCTTGAGCCAGATTTAACGACATCAGAAAGCGTGCGAGGGCCTGGAGAGTCAGCACAGGAACTAAGGGCCCTGTCATACGTCCAGTCAGCCCTGGCTCCATCCCTGGCACTACATACTGTCCCTGGGTGCAGAGATAGGAGGGAGCACTGCATTGCATGTGACCCAGAAAGGAAAGGAAAGACAGAAAGTGAGTGGGTGGGGCCATACCTGCTTTGCTGTCCCTCACGTGGGCCAATCTCTCTCGAGTGTGGACAGCCAGGTCCAGGGAGTGTCGTCTGAGTTTCCTGCCTCCAGCACCCTCCACCAGGCCCTCTCCAGCTGAACGTGAAGAGAAGCCTGTGTGGGCATGCGCCTCCTCAGAGCCCACACCTCCACAGTTCCACCTATCAGCTCTCAAGAACCCAAACTTGCGGGCTGGAGAGATAGCACAGCGGGTAGGGCGTTTGCCTTGCACGCGGCCAACCCAGGTTTGATTCCCAGCATCCCATATGGTCCCCTGAGCACTGCCAGGAGTAACTCCTGAGGGCAGAGCCAGGAGTAACCCCTGTGCACCGCCAGGTGTGACCCAAAACACAAACAAACAAAAACCCCAAACTTAATTTTTATTTTTTCCACAGGATCAGTCCACACTGCTGAAGATGATCAAGACAGCACTGTAGTCTCCCCAACAGTGAGAAACCCGCCGGAATGCACACCTCGTTAAAACACAGGCCCAGAGGTTGCCTGCCTCCTCTCAAGGGAGTCAACTGGCAGATGGGTTCCACCCAGGAGAAAGCTGTCTCCCGGGGCTCATCAGCGAGTCAGACACGAGCCTGAGACTGTGCTGTCCAGCCTCAGAAGACAGGGTTGAGGCCTTTCCAGATGACTGACAGCCCTGGGCCAAACGCAGGTCGTTCCCAGAAAGGCCACCAGCAGCTCACTGTGGAGGAGCCTCTCCCTGTCAGGGTTAAGAAACCCTGGGATGGAAGGGCTGGTTCTGAGAGAACACCCTGTGTCCAGCAGGTCGTCGGGGGCGCAGCCATGCAACAGGCCTCAGCCATGGGCACCAAGAGAGCAAGCACAGCATTGATTGCATGGGGAGAAGAGAGAGAGCACCCTCTCTGCCTGTTGAGACCCTGGTCGCAGTCATCCTGGAGGGTCCCTGGCTCCATGCCAGCCCACACCCTCCTCCATGACCCAAGGTTCCCAGGAAAATCCTGGTGGGTCATATCTGAAGCCTGGACTCTCCCCACTACATGCTCCTCATCTGACTGGTCCTGGTTGTAAAGTCATGAGGGGACTCAAAAAGTCTCTGTCACACCAAAATTGTGCAGCAACTACTGCGGCCACGCATCACGTTATTCATAACCAGCAATAGAAAACAAATTGTCTACGGTTGCCTTTTCAGCAGATCTGAGTGTTGGGGTAAAATCCCAAATAATAATGGTGGGTCTGGTGTCAAAATATTGAATATAATCAAAGTAGTAAGAGAGTAATGTGGAAATCATCTGCTCCACAGGTAGGGAGAGCGTGTGGGATGGGCAATATACTGGGGGTTTTGGTGGTGGAAAATATGCATTGGTGAAGGGATGGTGTTTCATCATTGTATGACCAAGACTTAAACCCAAAAGCGTTGTAACTGCTCTCACGGTGATTCAATAAATAAAGTTATAAAAAAGAAAAAAAAAGGTAAGGTGGAGTTCATGCCCAATTCAACCAGCCTAATCAATGGCTGAATAGTTAGCAATACTCCTACCTTAAGAAAAGAAAAAGTCTCTGCCACAGACCAGCAGAACCAGGTGGACGGGCACCTGGACCCTGGAATAAGTTATTTCCAACTGGCAAGACAAAGGCAGCCATGGACGTGAGTGGTGAGGTGGCTGCCCAGCTGTGAACTGGGAATGCCCCTACAGACAGTGACCATGGCTCCTGCCGCTCACTGGGGACGGCCTCCAGACAGGAGTCTCAGCAGGTGAGGGTGAAAAGCACCCGGGCACCTCATCCTGCAGTCTGGGCGCCAGAGCGGCAGGCCTGGGCTGGCCCCCTAGGCCAGCGCTGGGTCAAAAGATGGAGGGGCAGCTGGTGAACAGTGGCACCCCAGGCTGGAGTAGAAGAAGGACGAGGTGCTCCAGGAAGTGGGTGGCCATAACCACTCCCTGGCCAGGGAGGACACCGGTGTGCAGCTACATATTTCTCAGGGCTGGAGCAAAGATGGTGTGAAAGGACTTGATTTGCAAGTGGCTACCCCATCAGGGCAGGGTGCCTCACCCCGCCCTCCCCGAAACCACCCCACCCTCACCCCGCAGCCAGGAAGGAACCCTGAGCAGGGTCAGGAAAAGGTTCTGGGCATTCTGGGTGTGGTCCAACCCCCCCCCCCACCCGCAACCCCAACCCAAACGCTGCTTCTCCCAACCTAGCAGCCCCACAGCTGGAGCTCCCCCCATCTCTGCTGCCTGACCCCAGAACCACACACAGGCCCAACGCTGCACAAAGCATGGCAAGGCGGACCCCTGCAAGCTCAGGCCTGTGTCCGGGCATCCCAGAGAAGCACGACCAGCTCAGGCCCTTCAAGGAAAGGACCAAGGGCGAACGCCTCACTCACCTCTCAGTGCTGGCCCAGGGCCTCCCTGGGGGTCGGTGGTTGGGGCCCCCTCAGACTGCTGCTCATGAAGGTTGGTGGAAGGACCCTAAGAGGGAAAGCACTGGCAGCTGGGAGGGGGCACAGAAGGGCCGCAGGCCCAGGGTGAGTGCTGGGCAGTGAGGGAAGGGAAGGCAGGGCAGTTACTGTCCCCAGAGTGCCGGCAGGGAGGAGGCGGGGCAGGAGGGGAGGGACCATCCCAAGAGGACCCCAGCACAGACAAACAAACCCCTCAGCTGCCTGTGTCCAGCAAGCAGCGCCAGCGCCGTTGCCTTCCCGAGGGTCAGGGGCTCCTGCACCTCGAGGTGCCTGGGACTAGGCGCTGGTGGGACAGAGGGTGAGGAAACCCAGGGGAGGGAGGTAGTTCCTGGTCCCCAGAAACCCCTACGGTACCCACCGGTGCTTCCACCTGGAGCGGCCCCACCTCACCCGGGCTTGGGCTGCGGAGCTGGCCCCTGGCGCGCGCGCGTGCTCGGCCACTCATGCCGCCCAAAGCCAAGAGTGCGGTGCGGGGCCTAGGGTCCTCGGGCTCAGCCCTGCCAGGGGGGCTTCTGGCTGGCGGCTGGACTCGTGGGGAGTCAGGGGCGCGCCGGGTGGGGGGGCGCGCTCCGGGATGGGACGTGAGCGGGGCGGGGCGGGAAGGAGAGTGGGGGTGGGAGAGATGGGGAGTGTGGGTGGGGGCGGAGACCACACGTGGGAGAGATGAGGAGGGCGTGGGTGGGAGAGAGTAAGGGAGGGAGAGCCGGGGAGTGTGGGGCTGGAGGGAGAGTGGGGGTGGGGGCAGAGAGTGCGGGGGGAAGGGGAGAGGTGGGGAGAGCGTGGGTGGGGGAGAGTGGGGGAGGGAGAGAGGAGTGGGGGCGGGGAGAGCGAGAGCGAGGGGAGATAGTGAGGGGGGCTTCCTGGGGCCGGCCAGGGGGTGGGGGTGGGGGTGGCAGTGCCTGAGGTCACTGTGTCCCTGGTCCCCTGCTCCCTCCTCTGGGGGCACAGGCGCCTTTGCACCCATCTGTGCTGGCCTGTGCTGTTTCCTTCTGTGACTTGGAGCCCGTGTCTGTTTTAGGTTTGGGGCCACTCTTGCCTGGGGACCATCCAGCCTCTGCCCCCACATCCTGAGCCCACACTCCTGGCCTGGGGATACTCGCTGAGAAACATCCTCTCTGCTCCCAGTCCATCCTCTGTTGGCCGCTGACTCTCCGCCCTCCATTCTCCAGCCTCTAGATTCTCAGGCAGACACTCTCACGGCTCTTCCGTCCATGGTTTGTGCTCTGGGACCACGGCCAGTCTCCACTGCCCTCATGGCACAAGGACACTCGGGGACCTTTCCTAAGGCCACCGTTTGCTGTAACAGCTCGTTCCTGAGTGCCGTAGGCTGCCAGTGAGTGTTTCTTTTTTCTTTTTCTTTTTTTTGAAATAATCAAATTGATTAGGAAAATTTTCTCAAGCTTTTTGAGATCTGAAATAGCTAGAAACATTTTATTTTTTAAAATTTTTTATTAGTGAAACGCCATGAGGTGTTTGTTAGTCACTGTTCCCCACATTCGCAAGTCCGTTCCAGCTGCATTGGGGTTCTCAGCACAGACAGTCCCTCTCAAGGTGCCACATTATGGGTGGGAATGGAGGACCCAGGGGTATGGAGCAAGCAGGGAGCATTCTGGGAAGATGTAGGAGCTGAAATGTGAATGACTCGATCCCTGCACGCAGCCCCCAGTCAGCACGGTGGCTTTGGGCCAACAGCCTTGTCCTTCCAGCAGCGACCACTTGATCACTTGATATCCCGTTACTCATCAATTCTCTCAAGTGGGCGCCAGTAATGTCTCTATTCATCTCTGTTGCGTAGCCCAATGGCATCTGCTTGTTCTAGGAACACAAAGAGCCTCAAACCGATCATTAAGGGTCTTGACGAAGAAGTCTGACCATCTCGTAGGTGGGCGGCCACGCGATCATTTGACGTCCTGTGGAATCCAGTTGGTAATGCTCTAGTCCAGCAGTTGTCTCTAAATTTCATTATGTGTCCAGCCCATCTGATTTTCGATGCCTTGGCAAATGAGACAGCGTCCCTGATTCGTTGACAGAGGTCGGAACTCCGGATTCTTTCTCTCATTTGAGTGAAATGTGATACTCCAAGCATAGCTCTTTTGATTCCTCTTTGAGAGACCCGAATAGTGTTCTCATCCTGTTTTTGTAGGGCCTGAGGTGTATGTTAATGCAGGAAGAACAGTGAAATATGAAGAGATGTGCGAAGGGTCTTTGTCCTCTTCGTTATCTTTTTTTTTTTCTTTTTGGGTCACACCTGGCAATGCGCAGGGGTTACTCCTGGCTCTACACTCAGGAGTTACTCCTGGCGGTGCTCAGGGGACCATATGGGATGCTGGGAATCGAACCCGGGCTGGCCGCGTGCAAGGCAAACGCCCTACCCGCTGTGCTATTGCTCCAGCCCCTATTTTTTCAACGTTCTTGAAGGCGTTCCAAGCCGCTCTCCTCCTTCTGCGCAACTCAGGTGCCAAGTCATGTTGACTTCTCGACCTAGGTACACGTAACTGTTGCATTCAGAGATGGTTGTTCCGTTGAGAGTGAATGGAACATCAGGAACAAGCCTGTTTCTCATGAACATGAGAACATGAATCTTTGTGAGATTCAGCTGTAATTCAGCAGGGAGAGCACTGAAAACTAGCCTCAGGCTCAGCGGTAGCTCCCCCCAATCCCCCTGCAGACATAAATGCCCCCACGCCCTGTCCCAGTCTCAGACCTTCTCTTCAGCTCTCTCCACCTTGTTCTGCCGGTGCCTGCACCCATGTCTTGCACCCCTGGGGTCCGTGGCCCTGCTGTGACCTCCTTCAAGAGCACTGGCTCATCCCCGCCAGGTGCTTATCTATCTGCACCCACCCTGCACGCTCCAGGCTACACTGCTGGGTCAGCCTGAAATCACATCATCTCTCTGGTCTCTGCCCTTCCCTTCCTGCGGCTTCCCGCAGTTCCAGAAATCTTCCTGCAAAGCCACTGCTAGAAATGTCCCATCCCACCGTATTCTACAGACGAGAAAATCTGGATTCAGGGTTGTGATTGCCCCTGGAAGCTGCTTTGAATGAGTGAAGTATGCAAAAGGAACAGTGGGCCGAGTGTCACCGTGACTGCACACAGGGGGAGAGGGCGCATGTCACGGTGACTGTAAACAAGGAGAGAGATCAAGTGTCTTTGTAACTGTACACAGGGAGAGAGGGCGAGTGTCATGGTGACTGCAGACATGACAGAGGGAGAGTATCATGGTGACTGCACACAGGGATGAGGGCACGAGTCATCGTGATTGCAAGTGCAGACTTACTGGGAGACACTGAAAGGAGATGTGGAGGGCCAGGGAGCGGGCACGGAGTAGGAGCTTGCAGCCTACGTGCAGCGGACAGGGCTTAGCCCTGGCTGCACATATGATCCCTGAGCTCAGAGCCAGGAGTAAGGCCTGAGCACAACCTGGTATGGCCCAAAAACAAACAAAAAAGAAGGGAAAATGAAAAGGAGAGAGAAGAAAGGAAGGAGAGAGGATGGGAGAGAGAGAGGAAGAGAGAAAGAGGGGTAAAAGTGAAAGCAAATGGCCATACAGACTTCTTGGTTGAGTGGTTATCTGCAGGATGACTATCTGCTTGATTCTAATCTGTTATCTCATAAATGGGAAACTGTCTGAATCGGCTTATTGGGCAACAAATGCTATCAAACCAACCCTAAAACAACAAGCTGTTGTTCCATACGTTCCAGCGGCCAGGCCATGGGCAGGCTCACCTGGGCTGACCTGAGCCCCTCAGCTGCAGGGGAGGGGCTGGCCTCTGCATTCCATGCCATCTGCCTTCCCTCAGCACAGCAAACTCCAAAGCAAGCCGGCCCAACCATAGACCCAGAGGTCGTGCCAGGCCGCTAGGAGCTGGTGCACAGATGGAGTCCCAGCCTCTCAGGAGACAGGCATAAGCACTGCTAGTGTGGCCCCCAGTCACGGCAGTGCAGCCACCCCCAGGCCTACAGGTGTGGGGAGGATGCAGAAAACCCCCGCTGGGGAGCCGGAGGGACCCAGGGCTGTGCTGCACGCTCGTGCGTATCTGTGTGGTCACTAAGTCTGGGCTTTGTCCTATCTCAGAAGTTTAGAACCAAAGAAGTTATCTTTCTTCTTCTACTTTACATATAGATGAATAGAGCTAATCTGTACTCCCACAATGTTCTACATAAATGATAAACTGATAAAACAATTATTTTCCAAGACTGAAGTGATAATACAGCAGACAGGGCATTTGCCTTGCCACGTGGCCAATCCGGATTTGATCCCTGGCACCATATATTGTTCCCCAAGCACCACCTGGAGCGATCCCTGAGTGCAGAGCCAGGAGCAAGCCCTGAGCACTGCCAGGTAGGAGCAAAATAAAAAAATGTATGTTTTAAACTATATTTTTAGAATCATATAAATTGATATTATAAATAATTCTGTGACATTTAAAAATGTCCATGCCAGGACTCTGCGCCAGGCTGTTTTCACTCAGGGCACCCTAGAGGAGTGCCTACTAGTGCCTAGGAGAGCTAACCCTACGAGGGGTCTCACCCGCCCTGCCCCAAGCTATCCAGCCCCGCAGCCGCAGCCGGCAGCCGACCTCCACTACCCAACTGCTGCCATGCTCCAGGCCGGTTTCTGGACACATCATAGGACACTTTCTACCCATTTTCCATAATTGCCACACCATATTTGATGGGGTTCAAACAGTAGGCAACAAATCATAGAAATATATAAATATGTGCCTCTCAGAGAGCCTGGCAAGCTACCAAGAGTATCCCGCCTGCATGGGCAGAGCCTGGCAAGCTACCCGTGGTGTATTCGATATGCCAAAACCAGTAATGACAACAAGTCTCATTCCCCTGACCCTGAAAGAGCCTCCAGTCATCGGGAAAAGATGAGTAAGAAAAGGCTGCTAAAATCTCAGGGCTGGGAGAAATAGAGATGTTACTGGCACCTGCTGGAGTAAATCGACAAACAATGGGATGACAGTGATACAGTGATGAATAATTTTGTATGACAGACTGTATGACGTTAAAAATGTACATTGGAGGGGCTGGAGTGATAGCACAGAGGGTAGGGCATTTGCCTTGCACGCAGCCCGACCCGGGTTCGATTCCCAGCATCCCATATGGTTCCCTGAGCATGGCCGGGAGTAATTCCTGAGTGCATGAACCAGGAGTAACCCCTGTGCATCGCTGGGTGTGACCCAAAAAAGCCAAAAAAAAAAAAAACCCTAACAAAAAAAATGTACATTAGAGAGTGTGACCAGGTGACTCGGACCAAGCAGGGCTTTCCTTGCCAGTGGATTGAGTAGACAACACTGCCAGTCTCTTGTCTTCTCTTTACCATGGCTTCTTCTGATATCCAGGTGAAAGAATTGGAGAAACGTGCCTCCGGCCAGGCTTTTGAACTGATTCTTAGCCCTCGATCAGAAGAATCTGTCCCTGAATTCCCCCTCTCCC